CCAATTAGTCCAATTAACGGTCAAAGTGACCAGCCTTGTATTATTTCTTCCTGTTAATCATCATGTCAACCCCAACTATGGCCGTTAACCTCTTATCAATGCCAATCTTGGCCAGTTCTCGTTAAAATCTTTCAGGAAACACATGTAAGTGCTTGTCATTATACTATTATATAAAGATATAACATAATAAATTAATAACACAGGATTTTCTAACGATTTTCAAGATATATAACATAATTAATAACACAGGGTAAGATTGGGCTGCCTGTGTTAAGACAATTGCTAAGGAAATTTCTGAACCCCTGTCACACATATTCAACTTGACTTTCCTTAGTGGAACTATTCCTAATGGCCTAAAAATAGCTCTAGTTACCTCCAATTTACAAAGCAAATAAAAAAATAGGTACGCAGTGCGTACATGTTGCATGCCATCAACCTCATGACTCAGAATACTATACTGAAGTCCATCTGATGGATTGTTTTCTGCGTAAGCGCTACTCGTCATCATTCGTTACTTGGCAAATACTGTAAACAGAAGCAGTCGCTGCCAGGTCCCAGCCACTGATCTGAAATAAGACTGGATAACGCATCTATAGTATACAAAAGTGAAGCCGGAGGTCACCGGCCGCCACCCGATTCTGGGGCCCCACTTTTGTATAGATTTGTATTACAGACGGTAGTTTTTCGCGTTTTTTGCCTTGGCTACGTTTCCGATCGGGCCAATTTTACAATCACAACGATAGAAGCATACAAGACGAATTTTGAGCAAAAAATTTGGAGTATTATGGCTTTATAATGCCGCGAAACGGGATTTACAACTCTGAAGGAGTGGAGAGCCTCAGACTTTGTTTTATATCAACAAGAGCTCGTTTTGCTACTTTCATATAAAATCAACTCAAAATATACAAGATATATTGTTACTGGACGAATATTCTCACGAAATTTGAAGAAATGAAGCAGCTACATTGTGAACGAAAGCGTACAGAGGTTAGACTTTGTTTATCAACACGAGCTCGTTTGCTACTTTCATACAAAATCAACTTAAAATATACAAGAATTACTGTTTACTGGACGAATATTCTCAGGAAACTTGAAGAAATGAAGCAGCTACATTGTGAACGAAAGCGTACTGAGGTTAGTTTTAAAATACCTTGAGGCTACTTTTATAATTATACGAATTTAATAAGGAACAGTTTTAAATGTCAATTTTGTTAAAAGCATTCCTAGGCGACTTGTCGAGAAGTTTTATATGTTTTAAAGTAGGAAGACAAGTGACAATGAAATATTTTTAATCCAAATTATAAACAAGGACTCGATATGTTATTTTAATTCATATAATTATGGAAGTGGCCTCAAGGTATTTTAAAACTTAACCTCTGTACGCTTTCGTTAACAATGTAGCTGCTTCATTTCTTCAAATTTCGTGAGAATATTCGTCCAGTAACAATAATTCTTGTATATTTTGAGTTGATTTTGTATGAAAGTAGCAAAACGAGCTCGTGTTGATAAACAAAGTCTGAGGCTCTCCACTCCTTCAGAGTTGTAGATCCCGTTTCGCGGCGTTATAAAGCCATAATACTCCAAATTTTTTGCTCAAAATTCTTCTTGTATGCTTCTATCGTTGTGATTGTAAAATTGGCCCGATCGGAAACGTAGCCAAGGCAAAAAACGCGAAAAACTACAGTCTGTAATACAAATCTACACAAAAGTGGGGCCCCAGAATCGGGTGGCGATCGGTGACTTCCGGCTTCACTTTTGTATACTATAGATGTGTTATCCAGTCTTATTTCAGATCAGTGGTCCCGGTCAGTGCGCCCCCCCCCTGGACGTCCGCCATTTTGAATATTATCACTGGGATTGAATGCCTACCAAACACATACCGGCCATTTGGATGATGAATTACGGTCATGTCAAAATCATTGGAAAATCATAGGAAAACCCAAGAAATTGGGCTTCTGTATGACCCATTCTGTGCCCTCAATCGTCCACAAAATATTTGAGACAAACCCCCTCCCACAATTTCAATGTTGTTAGGCACTATAAAATAGTTTAAATCCAACATCATCTGTTAAATTTCAACTGCCAGTGACACACTTGCGGTTCTAGTATCACCTTATGTTCCTTTTCGATAATTACAGTAGGTTTCAACATTGAAATAAGGGGGAGGGGATTGATTTAAAAAGTCTCAATATATTTTGAACAAGATGGACAATTGCTGGTTATGATGTGCTATCGCTTATAACTTTTGGTACAACTGGCCTAAAACTTAAAATACTGAATCATTAATAAGTTTAATATCAATATATTTATTGAAAAATAGCTATTATGTCAAAATAAGAAAACTTAAGATTCTCACGCGAATAAGCAATGTTTTTATGAGCGACTGTTCATCGGTAGTTGCAAGCGACGGTAATATAAACAAGGTCAAGGTTTTATCGAAGCTTCAAAGTGATTGACTGTTAGATTTCCTTTACTATTTTACAACTAAATAATGTCAATTCCTACAAATTTAGCTTTATTATAGCTTTATTGAAAGTATAAAAAACCATAGAAACGGTGAATTACTATAGATTGAAAATAATTATTAAACTATGATTGAAATTATCGACTTAGAAATGTAGAATGCTATTTCGTTGTATTAAATTTCAATAGTATTAATGAGAATTTTGTTTGATATTTTTAATATATTTCATGTTATTTACAAAATGTACTGTATTTTTGAAGTTTTGCACACAATATAATCAGTGTGAGGACAATGACTCCGTTTCAATTTGAGCATATATAAAAATATTTCAGTATTTTGATAGCGTATAGCCTTCACGACATAAATATTAAACGGCAGATAAATAATCAGTGCGAGCACAACGGTTCCAAACTAACAACAAATAACAGAATATAAGGTAAATTAAAAACGGTAAAGCTTTACCTACCTCGATCTATTTTCCTAAGGCGCTAAATTATGTAAATTTTCGGCCGGGAGTCAATATTCAGATGAAAATGCTCGTCGGAAAAACTCTGTATTTGTCGCATTTTTAATACGAATCTGTCACGTGATTTACCACCGCCCGTACACCGCGACACGAAATTTAGAGCTATATGAAAGTTGCATGCCCATATATGGGCATGCAACAAAAATGAATTCAAAAATTATCGACCAATTTCTGTACTCTCTTGTTTTTCTAAATTACTAGAAAAACTAATGTATAAGAGATTAATTAAGTTAATTGAAAAAATAAATTGTTAACACACAGTCAGTATGGTTTTAGAGAAAATAGATCCACCGAGCATGCAGTCATTGAACTTGTTGACAAAGTTAGTAAAGCAATTGATAAAGGTGAATACACTGCAGGGATCTTTCTTGACTTGTCAAAGGCCTTTGACACTATTAATCACAAGATTCTGATTCAAAAACTGGAACACTATGGTATACGGGGAAAAACACAACTGTGGTTTAAAGATTATTTGGAAAATAGAAAACAAATAGTGAAATATGATCAAGTTACATCAAATGAAATGGTGATTAGAAGTGGGGTTCCACAGGGATAAATTCTTGGACCAATTCTATTTTTGCTTTACATAAATGATATTGAACAGTGCAGCAAATTACTTTCATTCATATTATTTGCTGACGACACTAATATATTTAATAGCAACAGCTGCCTTAAATCGCTTAATGTAATCATACAAACTGAAATTAACAAAGTTACAGAATGGTTAAACATCAATAAATTATCTCTAAATATCCAAAAGAACAAAATTCATTTTATTTAGATCTAACAAAAAAAACAAAACATGAAATTCAAATTGTTATGAATGATGCAAATGTAGAAGAAGTTAAAAGTACAACATTTCTTGGTATCATCATTGATGAATGTCTGACATGGAATGATCATATAACTAATGTTTCAAAAAAACTCTTGAAAGCTTCCGGAATAATATCTAAAATTAGACATTTCTTAAATCGAAATGCTATCAAACTAATTTATTATGCATTAGTCTATCCATATGTGATTTATGGCAATTTAATTTGGGGTAGCACAAACAAAACCCGAATTAATAAAATAATGAATATCCAGAAAAAATTGTACGTCTAATGACATTTAAGTCGTACTCGGAACACACTGAGGCTATATTCAAAGAATTACATATACTTGATATTTTTAGAATCAACAATTAAAAACTTTACCGAGACTAATACGAGAAACGCATCAAAACTTTTTAAATGTTATAAAAGAAAAAATTATGTAAAACACATTCTTTCAAATAAAGGAGTTGATGTGTGGAACAAATTAGAAACAAATCTGAAAGACATATATTTCTATAATACCTTCAAGAAACTAATTAAGCAACACTTTATACCAAATCCAGTTACAAATACATAGATTCAGAAATCACACTTTCTTTATGCAGACAATGTCTGTCCATGCATTGTCATTGTGCAAAAAAATACCATATAATAATCTAACTAGTATATCTCTTTATCTTAATATTGTAAACACTACAGTATTTACCCTTCATACCTCAAATTTGTAAATATCTTGTATATATCTTGTAAAACTTTTCTTCTGCATTTAATATTATCTTAAAAATTACTGTAAATAATTAAATAATCTAAATAGGACATGACTAGTGGCCTAGAAACAAAAGCCTGCAAAGGTTTCTAGTAGGTCTCTAGCCCAAATAGTTAATTTGTAATAATGTATTAATAATTGTAATGTACATGAGAAAATAAAATTAAAAAAAAAAGACCTAGTGGTTCCTTTTACCATTGCATATGGGGATTGCTGTTAGCATGGGTCATCAGAATGTTTCCTTTTTGGCAAGAACAATTTCAAGCAGCTTACAATTTGATAAAAAAAAATAGTGACAAGATTAGTTTCACCAAATATTCAAGACAGATGGCAACAAGGAACTTCAGCTATCGTAGCTACCTATGCAATAGTATATGTAGCTTTGAACAGTAATAGTGAAATCCACATTATACCATACAAGCAAATATACAATTTTATGCCAATATCCGGGAACAAGATTGGTCGGCAAAGAAATTCACTGCGATAAAGGCTGAATTCCACGATGAGCAAAATGCAAAATATTTCACGCAAAAACACACTTGTGCGAATTTCGTAATGATTTCTACAGTAGAGAAAAAATTAGCCAAAACACAAGCATTTGATTAATAGTTTCGCTATTTTGTCTTCCAAAACACAAGCATTTGATTAGTTTCGCTATTTCCATTTTGCAACAGAGTAGAAACAAATTCAACTATCCAGCGAAGAGGAACATTTCCGCAGAAAAACATTCCAAAATCATGTTGCACATGCGTTCAACCTTTTCGTGTGTAATTTTTCGCATTTCGTGGAATTAGGAACATTTTATCTGTTCGCGTGAAAAAAGTCGCCTAGTGAAAAATAAGTTTATTTCAGCAATCCTAGCGTTTTCTACAACCTGACTGGCTGCAGCCTATAGCTAAGGGTGAGTTTTTTTGAAATTGTGAACCACTAACTATTTTTTGCATTGGGAAAATTTCGGTTAATTTGAGAATTATGGACTCGAACGATAATTATCAGATGAGGTCGAAAATGTAGCAATTAAACATAAACACAGACGAGGGAAAAGCTGAAAACAGATATATATGTTATTTATCGTTCAACAGTGGTGGATTTAGGGGTCATTTTTGCACCCCGCACCCCCCAGGCTCTGGTCAACAGGAGGGGGGGGGGGTGCAAAAATGACGTTTATCCTAATTCTAACCAATTTATATTAAGGAAGTCAGTTGGGTATCACTACTTGACAATAGTGGAATAGCCAATATTAAATACTCTGAATTTTTCTGTAAACGTCCATCATCAATAATGAAATCAGAAATGAAATTATGAAAACCAGAAAACATCAGTCAAATACCCAAACATCAATTTTCAAATTACATGAAAAAATTAAAAAGCCATCTCAAGGCAACTTACTTGTCTTGGCTTATCATTAAAATTTTAAAATGTCAATGATTCTGTTAATGTTAAGTTTCTTTGTCAAGTCCTGTCATCTCAAGGCAACTCGTCTTGGTTTATCATTAAAAATGTCAATGATTCTCTTTATGTTAAGTTTCTTTGTCAAGTCTCTTTCTGATGAGAGCAAGCAAAGTTCAGCAAGCCTCTCATCTGTTAGTCTGTTTTGCAAACGTGATTTAACTCTCTTTATTGTTGAAAAGCTCCTTTCGGCTTCTGCTGATGACACTGGTAAGCTTCTTTTCAAATGAAAAAGTTGCATTAGGTTAGGATAGTGGCTAGGATTAAGATTTACTACAATACCACTCTCATCGTTACCTTCATTGGCTACTTCACATGCAAGTTTATATTTTCTTACTTTAAAGACAAGTAGAATTTTGTTGATTTGCAAAGTGTTTTCCCCGTAGTGGTCAACAAGGTGGAGAAGTAGTTTCTCCTCAAGACACCTTGTTGACTTGGGATTCAGACTATCTATACCAATCAAGACAGTCATACTCTCTGGAGGAAATCGGAGGAGCATTTCATCTAAAATCTTGTTGCATATTTTGGTTGTAAAATCTCTGGTGAAACTCTTTACATTGACCTCAGTTGTGCCCAAGTGGGATCTGATACTGTACACAGGAGATGTAACGTTCAGTGGAATTGAGCACTTCTCACTGACGACTGTGGCATCATCTATGATGGATGATAGGGATTCGTCTGATTTTAATTGTTCCAGAAGCTTCCTTGTCATTTCTATCTCATGTACAGCAGCACTCCATTCTAACTGAGGGTTTTGTAGAATGTCACTAAGATTAGTGGTCGCAGCAAGCACATTTTTCAAGATGACACAAGTGCCATTTTATGGTATAGTCCTGCACATGTCACAGCAGGGTCATCTGTGTCATCTCCCCTCTTAGCTAAAGTTAAGAGGATCTCCTGATACCGGGAACACAAAACATCTATTACAATGAACATTGATGACCAGCGAGTTTCTGATCGCTCAGGCATAGCAAAGATGTTGACTTTGTTCTCTCTTTGAATTTTGGTAAAACACATCATTTGTTTTAGCAGAGCTGAAGACTGAATGCAGTTTGTCTACAAGTGTCAATATTTGTTTGCAGCATTTACTAAGTGAATTAATGACAAGGTTTAGACGGTGTGCTACACAGTGGATGTAAATAAGCCATGGATATTTCTTTTTTGGTAGTGCTTGCACTCCTGACAGTTCACCCGACATAACTGAAGCTCCATCTGCAGCCAAGCCTGTCAACACACAAGCAATTCCAACAAGCTCGGTTACCAGCTTTTCGATTTCTTTAGCAATAACTTCTGCAGTGGATGAGCGCTCCTTCTGACAGGTGAGTGAATAACCGTGACAAACTTCTTGGTAGGCCTGGAGTCAATAGAATAGTGAAGACATAGACTCAGTTTTTCAAAGTTGCTGATGTTCTTACACTTGTCAACTATCATTCTAAAGAATTTCGCTTGAACTACCTCTTCAAAGATGGCACTCTTGACTTCGGAAGCCATTATAGAGATGAACTCGTTGAAAATGGATTTACTTAAATAATCATTGTGCACTGAGTACTGCTTCATGACAGACTCCCTCTGTGCTTGAAGCTCAGGATGAAGTTCGAACTCCAGTTCCATGAACTCTTGAAAGTTGCCTCTGTTATCTGAGTCACTGTCATTGTTAGATATAGATATAGACGGACAGCGGTCATACGCACGGACATGCGCATTAGATAGGCAGATCGGCCATGCTTATGTATGATTCATATTTCTGTTAAAAGTATAACCTAAATACACGACAGTGGCGACGAATTTGGGATTGTTATA